ATCGCGACGCATCTCTTCACTGTAAAACTATACGTCTGCCAGTCAACAAGATGATTATCGAGCAAAAAAGACCTAAAGGTAGAGAAAAAAAAGAGTTGTTTGCAGCTAACTCCAACGCTAAAGGTAAGATAAACACAAAAATATGCCACCGGGAAGATTCAATAATGCTCACGAAAATGTATAAATCTCCTTTGGGTAGATAACGTTGGATATAGACAGATGTAGAAGGGATATTCACTGCATTTCCTTCAAGCACCAGAGAAGGTTAACAAGATGGCTGGTGTCAATAAATCTGAGTGGCATAACGCAAAAATAGGTTCACTACAAGCCTAAGAGGAAGTATTGGCGCTAATAGCAAACAAGCAGGATAATTGGCATGCGTAAAAATGAATTTCACTATAAGCGCCTTCTTCTTAAGGCCTCGAGTCAGGGGCGGAGAAAGTCTCAACTGATAGAATAATGCCATCAAAGGGCAATAACGCTTTCCTGCAAAAGAGAAGAGCATTTCAAGTAAAGGTGGACGATTAGTGGAAACTACACAAAAAGCGAATAAATCGTAATAAGAGCATGATCATCTTGGGGTGCCGAAGGCTATTTAAGGACTGATATTTATTTTATTATTATTATTATTATTTATTTTATCTATATTTATGGTCACCACAATCAGTCAATCCCCACAAAATCACATATTTGAAGTGCTATTGTATTCTGCCATTGACATAAAAGACGACACTTACTTTTGATGTGAGTAGTTTTCAAGAGAGAATCAGATATGCATGGATAAGGGAAAAGTCGCCATAGGTCGCCTATGGTGATGAGAGGACCGAAAGTCGAGGTCGTGGGAGGGCACGAAGGCTACATGAAATGCGATGTATTCACCCTATTTCGTTTAAGATGGCGAAGGATTGGTAGTTGAATTTTCACATAATGATATGTGTCGAGTTGGGGCTTCCAATGAAGTTTGCTTTCCCAAAAGGTGCTATCATCCAGGGAGGACGGCAGTTTCAACCTCGCCCAGGTCTTATCAACACCTCAAGCGGGACTCTAACCCTGGAAATGCAGCGTAACATTTCGACACGTTAATCATTACGCCACATTATCACAAGTGCCCTTTGGTCCGAGAGCAGATGTGCATTTCAAGGAGGGCCAGCTATTTTACCATATCACATTCTTTGATGGGATTGTCGATGAAGCAAAAATGTATTTGCTATGGCAATCGAGACTATCCTACTTATAAACGAACATTAACTGAAATGTAATAGAATCTTGGGCCTTAAATCACATTAAATGAACTAGTGCCTATTCACAAAGCACTGATAGTCTCAACTAATTGCAATCCGTCAGACTTTGAGCCAATATGCGTTGTGCACAACCCACCCACCTGTACGAGCTCTTCACACTCAGTGTCCAACTGTGCGAGCAGAGGCTCCAGATGAATCCTGCGTCGGCAGACGATCGCCTTGTTGGTGGGCACTCCAAATGTCAAATTGGTCAGCGCCATGCAAATGTAGCGGCGCAACGCCAAACTCGCCTCCTTACCGCCAGCCCCAGAGCCCACCGAGGTCGGCATCGGAGCGGCGTCGGTTGTCCGGAACACCTCCGCCAGGCCCACCTGAATGCTGTGTGTGCTGTGGCCGGTCGGGTGAACCTCTGGACTGGGACGGTCGGAGGTGTGGCGCGGAGAGGTGGGCGGATGAGATGAGGCCTCGGATGCGGTGGACATGTGGCAAATGAGCCTTTCTGAGAGGTCGGACGGGCTCCAGTGCGAGTCTGGCGGCCGCCGACTGGCGGCGAGGGAGCAAGGGGCCGATCCGATGAAGGGAGACTTTGCGACAAAATCAGTTGCGCCTACTCCGCTGCCATTGCTGCTGCTACTGCTGCTGCTACTTCTATTGCTGAAGCTGCTACAAGTGCTGCCATTAATGCTGGTGCTGCTGCCCATAGCCTCAGAGGTAGCGGTTGTCGAGTGGACATCGGCCGTTAGAAAGTGGTCGCTCGTCAAGCAGGCAGACGATGGACGTAGAAATCGCCCACACCGGAGCCGTTCTATGGCCTCGTTCTCTAAGCACACCGAATGCTCCCAGCGAAGCAGGTTGATGAGCGAATGGACACCACCTTTGGGGGAAAGATAGGAGAAAAACGAACAGACAATCCAATTGCTGTGTGATTATGAAGAGATGGCTAGTGGAAACAAAAAAGGCCTGAAATCAAAGTATTTTTTTCCTCCTGCTCGCCTAGTTCAGCCTCCCATTCCCAATATCAGTACATTTCTATGACAACTTCGAACTCCACCAACTTTATCACTACTACAGGGTTTCGAGACTACCAGTAAATCAGTAATATGAGATGTATTCACTCTATTTTGTCTAAGGTTATGAAGGACTGGTAGAAGAATTGTCCCACAATGATATGAGTTGAGCTGACGTTTCAATTGAATTTCACATGGAAACGTCAGCTCAACTCATATCATTGTGGGAAAATTCTACTACCAGTCCTTCCTAACCTTAGACAAAATAGAGTGAATACATCTCATTTTATTACTACAGTTGTGTGTCATTTTGAGCCTCTTCTAAAAACATAGCTACGCTTGAATAGCTGATTCCCCTTGTAAACTACTTCTTTAGACGCCTCTCCCAAACCGTATCATGCTCCCTAAGATGCGTTTCTTGCCTGATTTTCTTTGAATCCAGCCACCGTATGCATTTTATTAGAGGGCTTTTTTTATATGATCTGTCACAAGCGTCAGATAATGGCTCTGATTATCAAACTTGCCGATGTCTCTTTCGGGTTCTCCCTATACGCACCGTTTAATGGCTCATAAATGCTTGATCAGTTATTGTGTTTTTGTAAAAAAAAAGTTGATTTTCGAAGAATCGTTCCACTTCCCTTTCAGGTGGAGATGCGTGATGAAGATATGCAAAGTCTAATAGCAGTGATCACATCCGATCCCATTGCCGAACCGACTTCACTCTTCTGCAAGCATGCAAGGAAGACATAAAACCGAACCATGAGAAGTGTCGTTGAAATCGCAAGCCGGCCAACCTTTCTTTTGGTTCAGTATATAGGAAGAGGGTTTGGTAAAGTATGATTTCTCGCTCTGATGATGTCTCACAGTAAAACAAACGAATACTCAGCACGGATGGATTGCGATGGCAAGACGGTAAGCCGAGTACTTGTTCGCAAATTCAACAGTCTTCACCTTAAGGTAATCCTCCTTCGGTTCATAGAGAAACCGATCCTACTTTGCTC